TCAGGTCAGATCAGTTCTTAAAGAACTTATAATGCATCCCCGAAAGATTGCGCAAAAACTGTTTATCTTTATCATTGTTTGAAGATCTATTAAGATATTAAGATAATTATTCACATTAAGCCAACAAGTTAGTACATGATAATTCTTCTCTTAACTTGTAAATTATTTTAGGTTAATAATGTAATACTTCTCATCTAAGTAAATTTTTGGACGTGTTGTGATTATTCAATTGCTCCAATATAGTAAGCTAAGACGAGTTTTGAAAGAATGTTAGAAAATACATTTTCTATGAATCTCGTATTTGAGGTTTTATCTTGATCCAATAATTGGAAGATTATTTGAAGTCCAGTTGACTAATTATTAATTTATAAATTAATTTTCTTAATACTAAGGGAAGAGAACAAGCAACACAAAATGTGAACCAGAAGTTCAAATGAATAATTTAAAATAAAATATTATTATGTCATTTTGATCCTCGATGTTCAAATCACAATTCATTTGCAAAGTTTATGAAAAAAATTATTAGCGGCTAATATTACACTCAAAGTGGATTCTCATATTGGACAATATAATATTGCAAATGAGTTAAAGTCGCGCCTGAAGCGTGGTAGAAAAGTCGGTTCCGATGTTAAAAGTCCTCTACCAAGAAAAGAAATTAAAGTTAAAAATGACCCAAGTCATGATATGAAAAATATAAGAGCACTTTGGCATAATTTAATTTTGAATTTCAGAAGAACTAACCAGGTACCTAAAACTTATGAAAATTAAGAGATCTCGATAAATTATGTCATGAATGGAATATGATGGAACAAAAATAAAGTCAATGTTGACAATGTCTTTGTATACAATATAGCGCTAAAGATTATAAATGATAATGAGGATCATGAGTCAAAGTCTATCAAATATTGTAGACAAAGTGAGGATTGACCAATATGAACATATTCAATTGGAAAAAAATTAAACTCACTTTACAAGTGACTCGATTTTGGACCTGTATTCCGAACACCTCAAGGTGTAAAATCAATTGGATATAAATGATTTTTTTGTGAAAAAGTAAAATAAGAATGGTGAAATTGTGAGATACAGAGCTTGAGTTGTTGTTCAATAATCTTCACAAAGACCTCAGATTTATTTTGATAAAACATATCCATCTGCAGTGGATGCAATTCAACTTTTGATATTTAATTAGGTTGTAGCAAATGAAAGACTTTATTTGAACATGATGAATGTTGTAACAACTTATTTGTATTGCTCACTTGAGAGTGACATTTACATGAAATTCCCTAGAGAGTTTAATATATGAGAGATACATGATTTTGGATATCGAGAAATTTACTCCATCAAATCAAACAGGTATCTCTACGGGTTAAAACAACATAGACAGATGTGGTATAATTGTCCCAATGAATATTTGTTAAGGGAGAGATATACAAATAACTCCATCTGTCCTTATTTTTCTATGAAAAGATCTAGAAAATAATTTTCTATAATAGTTGTCTATGTCGATGACATAAATATTATTGGAACTCCTGAAGAGATTCCAAAAACTATAAATCTCTTAAAGAAAGAGTTTGAGATGAAGGACTTAGGAAAGAAAAAATTATGTCTAGGTTTTCAAGTTGAGCATTTGGACAAAGAATACTTGTACATCAAGAAGGCTATATAGAAAAGGTGTTAAAACGCTTTTATATGGACAAATTTTACTTGTTGCCTACTCCAATGGTTGTTAGATCATTAGATATGGAGACAAATCCTTTCAGACCTCTAGAAAAGGATGAAGAAATGTTTGGTCCTGAAGTGTCATATCTCAGTGCAATTGGAGCACTAATGTACCTTGCTAATTATACACATCTTGATATATCATTTTTTGTCAATCTATTAGCAAGATACAATTCTTCACCTACACAAAGACATTGGAACATAGTCAAACATATACTTCGTTACCTTAGAGGTACAATAGACATGGATTTGTTTTATACCAAAGTATCCAGATTCAAATTAACAGGTTATGCAGATGCAGGTTACCTGTCAGATCCTCATAATGGTAGATCACAAATAGGTTATTTGTTTACAAGTGGAGGTACATCTATTTCATGGAGATCGGCGAAGCAAACCATATCAGCAACATCATCTAATTATGCAGAACTTTTCGCATTACAAGAGGCAAGTCGAGAATACGTTTGGTTGAGATCCTTAATTCAGCACATACAAAATACTTGTAGTTTATCTTCTGAAAAATTAAATACAACGACCATATATGAAGATAATACTGCATGCATCTCTGAATTAAAAGATTGTTACATTAAAGGAGACCGAACAAAACACATTTCTCCAAAGTTCTTTTTCACTCATGATTTTCAAAAGAGTGGTGATATAAACATCCAACAAATATGTTCATGTAATAATCTTGCAGACCTTTTCACAGAGTCACTCCCAAGTAGAACTTTTAATCAACAAGTACAAAATATTGGTCTTCATTGTCGAAGAAATGATCGTTCAACTAAGGAGGAGAAATAAATTTATTTTAAAAGGATATTGTTCATTTTTTTCTTCACTAGATTTTTTTTCCACTGGGTTTTTTCTAGTAAGGTTTTAACGAGGCATGTCCTCAATGAACATCTAAGGAAGAATGTTATGAATAATAGTAAATAGATGTGGATGTTCATTTAACCAACTTTCTATATTCCTTAACTTCTATGAGTTAATTTCCTAACCTTTGTGTATTCCTTAAGTTAATGGTTATTTATTGAACATGTATTTTAAATATGGTTCATGTTGCAATGCTAAGTGAACTTGAGGTGAATAATATAATATCACTTTTCTTCTTCTCTTTTTCTACTTCATCTCTATATCATTTTGGTTAATTTTATAACACGTTATCAACACGAAACTCTATCATATGAATGTTAACTAAGTGTCTAAGAAGTTATACAAATAATTTGATAATGAAGGTCTAACTATATGAAGCTCCAAGATTTAGAAGGTAACATTATTATTTTTTGTTTCGTAATACATATTTTCAATTATGTCTATTATGTATTGATATATTGATTAAAAGAAAAAAATCAACGATGATTTTCATGCATTCCAGAAGGATTGAATGAATAACGTTAAAATATCTCTGAAAAACTATAAAATAATTCGTTTGTTATATAGTTCCTGAAGAACTTAACAAATATCTTTGAAGGATAGAAAAATAATAATCTACATTTTTATCATTTTAGTTAATTTCATAACAGATTAAAAATATATTTGATTCACAAAAGGAAGAGAGAGATTTTATTAATAATTTATATTTTTATCTTTATGACTTTATATAAGTCATATGGTATTCAAAAAGTGAAAAATTCATAAGTAATTTTTTATAATAATACATGCATAAATAATTAAACACAAATTTATATATTTGAGTTATTAAAAAAGTTATAACTTGCTAGATAATGTTTAAAAAAATTAAATACACTTGATTCACAATATAATTCTCCGACACAAATTAAATTATGTGTTGATAATAATTTTTAAATTGTGATGAACAATTAAATAAAATAAATAAATAAATAAATAAATAAATATTTTAAATTTGATATAAAAATTATACTAGGATAAAAAATTTAGAAAAAAACAAACCTTAATAAAAATAAGAATTTAAAACTAAAAAAATAAAAAAAATAAAAAAGTGATTACAATTTATGTTATATAACAAAAATAAGAAAATAAATTTTGAAGATGGAAAACAATTATAATAAATTGACGGAGATAACAAAAAAAAGAAAAGAAAAGCATTAAACAAAAGAAAATAAATAATATTTAAGGTTTAAAAGTAGTGCATTGTCTCTGTAAAACAGTTTTACACATATAATCAATTAAAATGCCTACCATTACTATGTAATATTAATATTTTAAAAATTAAAATATATTTTATTTTGTGATTGATTGTCCGTGTAAAATATTTTACACTGAGTGTATTTTTTTCTTATAATATTTAAAAACTAAAATAAAAATAAAAATATTTTAGTAAATATAATCATTTTTTAAACATTAAAGTTTAAATTTCCTTCTCTCCCCTTTAAATCTCTCAGATTTGGAGGAAAATAAAATGTATTTTGAAGGGATTTTACTGCACTTCCCTCTCCTCTCCTCTCCTCATAAATTTTAAACAAAACACATTTAGTTAAAAATATTTTATCTTCTCATTTCCATTTAAACGCACCCTTAAAATTTAAAAGGTGTTACTCTTAATTGAACTTCGAGAATTAAACTTCTCTTTAATTTATCGTAAAAATAATTAAATAACAGTATATGATTTATTGACAATGTAAGCTTTTTATATCACCAAGGTAACATATTCTTTTTACAAACAAAGGAGGCAGAGATCAATGATATTAAAACAAGACATTTGTGATCTTGAATAAATCAACTTGTTGGATTTCAATATCCAATAAGCAATCCAGCATAAGAGTGTAAAAGCATTTAAAATGATAATCCAGATAAAATTAATTCTTTATGGAACAAAAAGCAAATATAAGCAAAAATCAAACATGAAGCATTGTATTTGGTTTTATTATATTTTTTGTTGATACTTTTTTATTGATTATATGAGTAGTTTTGAAAGAAAGAAAAAAATGAAAGAAACGGAAAATAGAAAATTTAATCCAACCTCAACATAATATGGTGTGCTCTTGATAAATTTACTAATATCCGCAGAAGAGGTGAAGCAACTAATTAAGAACTAGCAATGTAACTTTAAGGTGCTGAGTTCGAATTCTCTCAAGGACGGTTCTAGAATAACCATCATTAATCCAAAATCTAGTCTTGAACATAGACTAGATTGCTTGAAACTCTCATACATTCCAGCAGAACAAGATATTTCGGAAGAAATTAGTCATTATAAGACATGGAATAATTTAGAAACAGAATTTCATCTATGTCTCGAAGCAGAAATGTGTATCTACATTGTTAGACTATACTGTTATTTGTTGACTGTGAGAGATGCCCCTCGGTTAATTTTCATCATCCTTTGCCAGCGGAACAGACTTGGCCTGGATTGAAGTTTTAGATTAAAAAAAATTGAAAACAATGTCAGCATTATCTTTCATTTGTTTCTGTCACACTTGTTATTAGGCATAGGACATAAAGATCACTCACCAAATCACGGTATTTAAGGATATAGAACATTTCAAGATATCGTCGAGTTTCACGCCTCTCTAATTTGGAGACGTACTTCCAGAAACTATAAACTCCCGCTAGTGTCATAAGCCTTTCAGAATAAATCCTCCATGTGTACCTGAATATTGTTTGCTTAGTTATGAAGCATCCTTGTAAAAAATTACAAATTTTATTTACCAAAATCACTATATACCTTTCGTAAATTCTTTGAAGAGCACCGTCGGATATTTTATTCCAATGGCTTGGATCCTCTTTGCATCGTTCAAAGAATTCAACCAACAGGTCAGAAGCTTGATCAGGGTGATAAGGATCGATATTGAATCCTGATTTACCGTGCTGGATAATCTCAGCTGGGCCACCATGGCAAGTAGCAAATGTCGGAAGGCCACAAGTCATGGCCTCCACAACTGTAAGCCCAAAAGCTTCATAGAAAGCAGGCTGCATTAAGATAGTTATTGTTATAATTCACAAATGATGTCTGCAGGTTCAACAAAAACAGTAAGTAGACGGTAGATACCTGAACGAAAGCACCTTTTGTGTCTGCTATGTAGCGATACAACTCACCGTTACGTGCTCTATTTGTTTGCGAAGCAATCCATCGAAAATCACCATCTAATTTATATGTTTTTATGAGATCATACATCTTTTCGATTTCAGCTATTTCTTCTCTGTCCCTGGACTTGCTTACATCAATGTAACCAGCTATTACAACAAGGTTGACCAGTTCTCTCAGTTTGCTGTTCTTACCATAGCTTTCTACCAACCCAGTAATGTTTTTCACTCGGTCTAGCCTCGCCATGGAGAATATTATGGGCTTTGACCGATCTTTCAGTGTACCACTTGCAACCAAAAAGCAACACATCAGCTAAATGCTATCAGCATTTTTACCTTTTCATATCCACAAATTCACATATGAAAAAAGTGAGGTGTTGCATAACATTTCTTACAAATGTCTTAGATATTTTATCCTTTATGAGTGTAATAAGCGAGAGGTCAGGGTGCAATTCTAGAGTTTGCACAGGCAAGATACATCACATTCACAAAGAAGAAAACAATCTTTCATTCATACTACTTTGAAAGATATGAATCCTTCCCCAAGTATACTACCCAGATTCAAATTTTGTTCAATAGAAAGACTCACATGTATTCATCGGTCTGCTCAGGATCGTATAATAACTTTTCAATTGAACCGTGCAGAGATGTAAGTCTTCTCTGCTTTTCTGAGTAAGGGAAATATATGCACATATTTGCTCCGGGAGAGACAATATTGAACTTAGGATCAAAAACATCAATGCCATGAACAACCCTGTAGAGCCCAGGAAGAGTAAAAGCAGTGTGACTCTCATACTGGCCAACAGTATTCCTCCTGAAAGAAATAGGATGAAGATATGAAAATAAAGTAACTAGCATAATTACAACCAAAAAAAGAAAAATATAAAATCATTAGAAAGAGGGGGAAAAAGGAAATGAAAACTAGCACCACGATCGTTAGTGAAAATTCAGAGAGTATTATGCAGAAAAATGGTGACTAGCTCATATTCCATAATGAATTATAAGCATGAGCTTGCCAAATTGCAAAAGAAAAGAAATGATGGTTATATATATACAAGGAAAAATATCATTGAGCAAAATCATAGGGAGCAATCAGAAATCATGAAGTACACTGTATATCATGAAAACTTACGTTCCTGCAATCTCTTGGTATGTACTTGTGATGATAAAATCAGCGCTATTCATGGCTATTAGATCCGCTGTGAACTGACATGAAAAATGATATTTATCATCAAACTTCCTCCAATAAGTACCTGAATCTGGATATTTTGTTAACTCCAGTGCATGGGCAATGGTGCACTACAAATAAGGACATTTAAATCTAGTTAGTTTCAATATCAGTAGAAGATAACATGAGATTCACATTTCCATGGAAAAGCAAGAGTGAAAAGGAAAAAGAACAGAACCTGTGTGACTCCCATTTTACAAGCTAGTAAAGATGCAACGAGATTCCCGTCACTGTAGTTTCCAATGATGAAATCAGGGTACCCTTGTAATTCAGCAGCAATTTCACTAGCAGCATCCTGTTGGCACATTAAACTACCAACAGTTACATGGAAAAGGCTAGCACATCTGAGATAAGAAATCCTTGATTCCTAAATAGAAGTCCATAACAAGGGAAATAGATTAACGTATAGGATGAAATTTACCTGTGCGAAAGTCTCAAGAAAAGGCCAGACATCAAACCTTGAGATCCATTTTCGAAGAATTCCTTTCTCTGATCTGAAAGGAACTCGCAAAATATGAGTATGTTCAGTACCACAGACTCTTTCTAGTCGCTGGTTGCATGTTGTCCCCCCTGCATCAGGTATTAACCTAGTAACCTTCATAACAAAAATGAAACTAAATTTGATTTCAGCGGACAAATACGTTCAACCACAGAACAACCAAGTAAAAGTTTAATAACTGTTGGAAGACATTGTACACTTACAATTAGAATTCTAGGTGTGAGATCAAGTCCTTGTTTCTTGATCCTAAGGAGCATCTCGTCCTCAAGTGCACGCACTTGATCTAATATATATACAACCTGCAAACAAAAATATCTCATGTAGGATGGTGCTTATACACAGTATTTTCCCAAACCAATGCAACATAAATGAGAACAAGTAAAGAGGGCCAAGGACAATTAACAAAATTCATACATCCAGATCAAATATTATTATGCAATATATTATGAATAAGAATACCTGCCCACCAGTGTCAGGCAAACCCAGAACATTGGCTTGCCCAAAGTAACCATGAGGAGATAATATAACAACGTTGAACATCATAGGCACTCTCCCAAGAAAAGTCTCTAGAGTAGAAGGATCAGGAGCCTGAAGAAGGTCCAACAGTAGATGCATCATCTCCAAAACCCGTTCAGCTGTATCACCCCAACCTCTCTCAAAACCCATTCCTTGTAATCTACAATTAGACAATAGTAACAATTTTAAAACATTTGATTATATAGTACAACTAAGATTTTCACATGACTTCGTAAGTGGGCGAAGACATGTTAATTTCTTTTTATCAAAGATAATCTTACATATATTCAAATTCAGAATAGGGTGTATCAGGTGGAAGCCTAGAAAGATGATCCTCAGCCTTGGCCAAAGAAGACTGGAGTTTGGAAATGCTGTGTAGACGATCATTTAACATCAGTCCCTGCACCATAATCATAAGTGGGAATTGGGGGGAAAAAATGCAAGCTCGACTTACACTCCTTAAACTATAACTGTTGTGAGCACAACAAACTTACACGGCCTTTATATTTGTGAGCTCGGAGGAAATCAAGCAATGGCTCCAATGAATCCTTTTTTCGAAACATAATTGAAGAAAGGTGGCGATTGAGAAACTGAACACCGTTGCCAATGGACGACGAGCGAGTTGGTCGGGGAAATGAGGCATTAAATGGCTCAAAATCAAGCTCTAATATAAAACGGTCACTATCCCTGTTGTGTAAAATAAAAACAAAACATGTCAGAAAAACAACCATGAAGTTACTCTTACTCCACATGGTCAGTGAGTTTATTGCTTATTGCAAAAGCTGAGTGAAGGGTTTCTCACGTTCCGTCTACAAGTTCTTCTTTGAAACGGAGATATTCAGCAACACTTAATTGCTCCACACTAAGTTCAAAAACATGCACGCGGACATATTCCCAAATACCAGGTCGTGGACGAACTGCTATTGCCACAAAAGGAGGCAAAACTATGGCTTCCTGTCACAAAAATCACACGGCATATTTTATTTCAATATTTAATTTTTCAGGTGAAATTCTAGTGTTCAAGTAAGCAAATTTCAAATTTTATGAGTGAAAGTTAGAGTTGTGAAGATGTTAACTGCTGAGTTTCCTGACTATTATACTGTAAGTACATAAAGTGATAAACCACTTGTAGACACTATCAAACTACAACAATAACAACAACCAAGCCTTTTGCCATTAAGTGAGGTCGGCTACATGGATCAGACTATGTCTACATCATAATGTTTGTTAAAAACATGCTTCTATCAAACTCGTTTATCTCAACATCTTTCTTAATACTTTCTCTTATAGGTTTTTTAAGTCTTTCTCTACCTCTAGCGGCTAGACTACCTTCTATCTCATCTACTTTCCGTACTACTGAATTCACTGGTCTTCTCTCTATATGCCCAAATCACCACTGTCTAGTTTCCACCATCTTTTCTATTATAGCTGTTAACCCAACACTCTCCATAATATTGTCATTTCTAGTTTTATCTCGTCAAGTCATACCCTACATCCGATGCAGCATACTCACATCTCTGCTTCACTTAGTTTATTTTCATGTTGGTTATTTACAGTCCAACATTTTGTCTTGTACAACTTGGTACATTATCAAACTACAGCTAAATTTGATTCAAACTAAACGCTATATATCATTATGTTCCTAAGAGAACAAGTATCTATGTATTACATCACAGGAAACGTGTTTTGAAAATGCAATTAATCTTCAAAGTAGAATATAATATAGCTATATGCTTATAGCTTCACCAAACTATTTAATATAATCCAATGTTATAATAGAATACATGGTGAATTCACCTGCGCGGACTTGACGATTTCACCAAAGGGCCCATTTTTGAGATCCTCGGTGACCTGACCCTTGCCGTGAATACTTTCCAACTCATCAATCAAACTATGGGGTTGCAGAATCCCTTTCCCTTGATCTACATATCTTCAAAGTTCAAACACAACATCAATAATCACCGTGTAAGAATAAATGAGGTTAATGAAGAATGAAAAGGTACCTGGAGAGTAGAGAAACGAGTTCGTTACGATGAGCGGAGAGGGTTCCCTCTACTCGGTCTCTGATACTGGGAAGTCTCGCAAGCTTAGGTTGAGACATGTTGATGAGAGAGTGAAGATTGGAGAAATGAGAATGGTGTTGCGTTCTTCATTCATTGTTCGATTCCATTGATGAGCATGCTTGGATCTCACGCGATGATTGTCGCGCGAAGTTTTCATCATCTTGTTTTGTGTTCTACGGCTAGCCGGTATTATCGAGGTTAGAGTTCAAGACTGAAAATGTGGATTGGAAAGAAGTTATTATTGAGAAATAAATGGGTTCAATTCAAATTTGTGTTATTTATGATTTTATTCCTCTAATTTAAAATATACATCCGGATATAGGATTTTAGTCGCTCACATTTTTTGGAGAAATGTTTTTTTCACATACAAGTTAATATCCATTTTTGATAACAAATTGTATGATTGTTTCACCTCAAAATATAAGTTGTTAGTAGAGATTGACCATAGTAGAATTAAGTGTTCAAAATAAATAAGTTGTTAGTAGTAGAGATTGACCATCGTAAAATTAAGGAAATGCAAATATAACTGAACGCAGGACACTCTCAAATTTATTGATGTCTACATACTATAAATGTTATGAAAGTGTTAGAATTAATCAACACTAAGTAAGACTCAACAATTTATCACTACTTCATAGTGCTACTAACAAGAAAATTTAAACACAAGGAGTATTACTTTGAATTTAGGATTCAATGTAAATAACTGAACAAAACTAAATTGTTAGATGAGAATATGAGCGATAAACAGTTTAGAGAGGGGAGGATTTGAATATAGTTTGAAAATGTTTTATCAAAATTATAAAGATAAAATTGTCTTTGCGTAGCAGAAATGACTTTGGCGAATAGAATAATTGTCCTTATCGATTGAAATTAACATGAAGAGACTTAAACAACTCACATTAAAATCAAGATTGATAACCGAATTAAACCAAATGAACAAATTAGCTTTGTATTGAATAATTGATCAATTACACAAGTAGTGTTATCGTACAATTATCAATACCAATAATATTCTACAACCATAGTTTTTAGTTTAATCGACACCAAGACAAAATCGAAGTACCAATTCTAATTAAACCTACACCTATGCAATAAATCGCTTCAAATAAAAATCTTAACGGCCTGCAATTCTAGAAAGCAATAAGAATAACCTAATAAAGTAATTAACTACGAAATTAAAATATGAGAGAGAACATTATAATTTATAGTGGTTTCACACGTTCATCCTGGTTTTGTGCTTAATCCACTTTCCAATGGTTGTCTATTGAAAACTTGTTGGTCTTCCAATATGATTTTTAACAAAATTACAAGAGATCGTACAATCACAATGTCCAAAATAAATGCTGAAAAATATATATCTTCTTTCTTGATCTTTGACTTGTACAAAACTCCACGAACTGAACTCTACGCGAAATCTTTACTCAAATTCGCTTCTTGAATCTTCCAGCCCAACAACTTGATCCTAAGTCTTCTTCTATGGCAATATTTACTCGAATCCACCAATATCTTAAGCGTTGGTTTGTCTGATGATTGAGAAGAACTCCTACTCTATCTATAAGTTTCAACGTAACACTATCAAGGTCAACCTGAAGAGAAGAACCTCTTTCTTTTTCATTTAAATTGCCAGACCAATCACAACACCACACACTATTGGGGACCTCTAAAATCTTAACCAAATCTTCAAATAAATGTTGAATTCAAAATGAATCTCCTCAATCAATAACCAATCTTCAAAGATAAGATTCATATTCATGCAACAATAGAAAAAGAATGAGTTTAAAGATGAAAGAAATTGTTTTCACTGTGTAAGAAAGATTCACAACTCTTTTTAAAAATGAAAGAAGACATGGTTTGTGAGTTTTCAAATCATCAATGGAAGTTTATGTTTTCTAATACTGTGAATGATTTTGAGAGAAAAAATAATTTATAGGTGCTTGAGATGTAGCATAAAAAGTAGTGAAAAATCATGTTTGATTCGAGTCATGAACACTTGAGTTATTTGAGTCAAGTGGAAAAGTAATATGGAACAAGATATATATTTTCTGAGAAACCCATTTTCATATGATTCGAGTCATGAGTAACTTGTGATTCGACTCATGCTATATGTGATTCGAGTCACGAGGAAGCCATGACTTAAATCAAACAAGACAGGGGTTGACACAAATTCTGTGATTCGACTCATGTACAAGCTATGATTCATATAATAGGATTCTATGATTCAAATCATGTACAACCTGCGATTCGAATCACAGACTCACATTAATTCTTATTTTCTCTCTGTTTGATTTGATTCGACTCATAGGGCGTGTGATTCAAATTACACACCTAAAATCTCAATATTTTGTAATTTTTTGAAGTTATTTTGAGATTCTTCTTGTGTCATGACTTGAACCAATCTCAAATATGGTTCTTGTTTCAAAAATTCGACTAATTGACTTAAAACATAATGTTCATACTGTCGCGGTGAAATTTGGATACCAAACTATTGATTAGTTTGAATCTTTAATTCATTTTGCAACGGAACTTTGATTTGTCCAAAGGAAGGGATAAAGATCGAAATTCCCACGATGCAATGCAAATGCAAGCTAGAGAGTTTTAGGTTTGGGGGTCGGTTAAACTTAGGGAAGGTGCTAGCATCCTAAGTTTCTGTAGTACTCTACAGGAACCTCTTGTTTTATGTTTGTTGATTGCTATGGTTTATCTGCTTAATGGTTGAAAGACCTAGGAGTTTATTTCTAAGTATACTCGATAAGATATCGCATCTTATGCCTACATATCCTTACGGGAGTGGAATCAGAGTATCTGTAGTTCCCCTAAAGGGTTTGAGGAGCTCTTTGACTGTGGTCAAAGTTCCTACGGGTTTAGGGTAGTTGGTTGATTGACTTTAGGAGAAAAGGTGAGTTGTCATTTTAAGGGAGATTTAACCGCCACAAGTTGTAGGAAAATAGTCTTTGCATCGTCTTAAAAGAAGGGCTCAAGTACTCGAATATTGATCGACGAGCACGCCTCTATCTCTCTTAAGGCAAAGTCCCTACGGTATTGATTGTGTTGTTGTGGGGTGGAGATTCTATCTCGCTTAGGATGATTAACATCCATTTCTCTATTGTGTTTGAATATTTGTATTGTTGATTGTTTGTTTTCCTATGTTGTAAAATAAAGACAAAAGTCCTCCTATGGGGTAGGATCTGTCCTAAAAGATCGACTTGAATGTGATCAAGGATCGTAGGGGAGAATGATGCAAATGACGTGCACTACACACTAGTGTTGACTCGTGTGTAGGTTTTTCCTTTGGACGGAATGCGATGCGAGAATATAAATATGATAATGTAAATTGCGGAAGATAAATTGCGAGTAAAGATAAAACATACACACGCATGAAAGCGCTAGGTGTGTGAAAGTGAATTGTGAGTGTGTGGACGGACCAAAGCGATGCGCAAGCATGCACGATTAGATGTTGATTTTTTTAGGGGATTGATTTGAAGAAGGTGGTTGAATTGATTTAGGGAGATTAATTTTATGGGGAAGATTATATTAGATGAATAAATTATAAATGAATTGATTTTAAGGGAAATGTTGAATTAATTAATTTTAGATAAAAGTGTGAATAAGGTTTTTAAAAAAAAGAATTAGTGAAATAAAAAGATTAATTAAATTGGATAGAAAATATTTCTAAGTTACTTATTAAATAAATTGGTTATGAATTAATTTAAATGGGAATGATTTTCGAATAATGAGCTGCTAAATAAATCGTTGATTATTACTTAAAAAGTAATTTTCTTACTAATCATCAAGTAGATCTTGAGTTATTATAAAAAGATTTTATTATTATAAAAAAAGTTAATTTAGATTAACAAGTTATTTATTATTATATATTAATTTAAATATAAAAGGATAAACAAATTGATATGTTATTATTTTATGATTAAATGATTATAACAAGTGTTGTTAGTTATTAATCTAAAAAAAGGTTGATTAACCATATTATTTAAATAAAGTTCTATTAATTTGGTTAAAAAAGTATGGATTAATTTTATTAAGAAAAAGAAAGAGCTTAAAAAAAAGTGATTAAAATTGATTTACCCAAATGAATAACTCATTAAAGGTGCACTAATAATTAAATTAGAGAGATTAGGATTAATTAAAAAAAAATTGGTTTATATAAAAAGATATTGTTGCTATTATTTTAAATAAAACTAAGTTAATTTGATATTAGGATTTTTTTAACAGATTAGCTTAAAAGAAAAATAGTTAACGGTTAATAAGAATTAAGGCGCAGATTCAGTGTTACGCGGTGCATTGGTTTACCATGGGTGTGCAACGTGGTCCACGTGATAAAGAAATAGGTGAATCGTGCGGTGATAACAGTGAGGGACCACGGTACTACCGTGGTCGTGCAGGCATGTAACTCATTAGGTTACAACACAACTGAAACACACAGAAGCACACAAAAAGCAAAACGCAAACGGCAAAAAACCCTAGCGGAGCCAATCTTGTTCGCTCGGTCTCTCTCACCGATCCAACCCTCTCTCTCTCGATCGCTAGCTACATGATACCTGAAACAAAAATTAAAATGTCAACCAATCAATAGTACGAAGAGGAAACAGGGAGTTTTACCGGCGACGAATCAGCTTATGGAGCGTGAGTCAGGTGACGGTGGCTAGCTTCGGAGACGTTGAGCTTCGTAAGTTTCGGCGAAACCGCAAATAAGTTCTTCGCTTACTTTGATTTGAAGATTTTTCTTTTAGGGTTTCTATGGTGTTTTCGCTGTTTTCACGAGCTCTTTAATCTCTCTTTTCCTTCAATTTGAAACCCTTCTTATATAGGCGAGCTGGGGTTTAAGACCTTTAAACATGATTGAATTCTGATTGAAACCTTCCATTTTTGGGTTGATTGGATTTAATGGTGTTGATGAAAATTCAATATGGGTGATTTGATTCGAGGAATCTTTATTTGATGCTGAGATTTGATAGGATCTGAATAGGATCTCAATTTTTGAACAGGGTATATTCTTTGATCAATTTACTAATCCAATCATTAT